ATACTTCAAAGTTATGAACTTAATTAAACAAAAACTAAATTGTGGGGCCAAAGAGAGATGAAGTCAGAAGAACAGATTTATCGGCCAGTCAGTCAGCAATCATTTAAATGCCTGCTAAGTTCTAGATATGGGGAAATGATACCAATAATGAAATAATCCTTGCCCTCAAGGATATTATATTCTTATGGGGGAGACATGAAGTACCCCAGGGATCTGTGTATATAAGCATATTCAGAATAAATATAAAGAGAGTAAATACAAGGTAGTTTGGGAGTGAAGGCATTAGCAGTTGAAGGATTGGGAAGAGTTTCATATAGAACAGGGCTTCTTAAACTTTTTCCACTCAAGACCCCTTTTCACATTTCAGCAGCTTTCATTGGCATTGCATTGCCTAAGGTCATGCACAGTACAAAGTGCACATGCTTTGTGTTCAGAACCAAGGCTGCAGTGAAGTTGCATGATGCAACGCTAGCAAGTGCTGCCAGAAACATCTAGGATTTATTATGCATTCAATTTTGAATTAAGTTTTGGTGGTTGTGCATTCAGAAACCTTTTACTGTTGTCAATTTTTTTGTGACCCCATGGAGTCAAGACCCACAGTTTAAGAAGTGCTGATATAGAAAGTAGTATTAGTAATTGAACCTTTTCTCGAAGGAGGAGAGGGGTTCTGTGAGGCAGATGTGAGGAGAGAGTACTTTCCAGGCATTGGAGATAGTCATTGAAAGGGTATAGAGATGGGATATGGTATGCCATATGTGAGAAAGAAAATGAAAGGCAGTTTGGTTGAATGGCAGACAGTGAGAGGGGGAGTAAGTTGGGGAAGTAATATACAGTGGAATTGGAAAGGTAATTTGGGGCCAACCAGTCTGTGAATGACTTTAAATTCTAAACAGAGGAGTTTATATTTCATCCTAGAGGAAGTAGTAAGACACAAGTTGATTGAGTGGGGAGTTGCATGGTTTTGATATGTGCTTATGGAAAAAACAACAGCAACAACAACATTGGTAGCTGTGTGGAGGATGAACTGGAGTAGAGGAGGATTGGGGAAGGATTAGCATGCCATTGCAATAAGCCAGGTAAGGGATGAAAAGAGCTTGAACTAAGGTAATGGCTTTGTGAGTACTAGTTGGAAGAATTCAAATTTGGGGTGGCATTATGGAGGGAGAAAGGGCAAGATTTGGCAACTGATTAGAAATAGAGGATGAGGGAGAGTCAAGAGTTGACGATAATGCCAAGATAACAAACCTGGAAGACAGAATAGTTGTGCCTTCAGCAGAAATAAGAAAATTTAGAGAAGGATTAGGGTTTTTTTTTTTTGAGAGGAAATTTGTCTCTTTTAGATATGTTAGGGTTGAGATTTCTCTGGGACAACATTTTTAAATGTCCATTGGACAGTTGGTGATATAGAACTCGAGGTCAGTGGAAGAAGTAAGGCTGGGTATATAGCTATATATCTATATCAATATAGGTATGTAGATATATCTCTGTAAGTCATCGTGCCTAATGGTAATAAACTCATGGAACTGCTGAGGTCACCAAGAGAAAAAATGTAAGGAGAAGAGGCATAGGACCTAGACTGGGAAACCCACAGTTAAAGGATGTGTGATATAGATGGTAAGTGAACAAAGAAGACCGAGAAGTGGTCAAACAGGCAGGAGACACTAGTACCAAAAAACCCAGGAGAGAGAGTACTTAGGAGGAGAGGGTTGTCTGAAGTGTCAAATGCAGCAGAGATTAGATACACAATATTCAGAAGCAAACTAGTACAGTAGCCTAGTATTTGATAAATCCAAAGATCCAAGCTGTTGGGGTAAGATCTCACTATTCAATGAAACTTCCTGGGAAATTGGGAAGCCGTATTGCACAAACTCAGTATAACTCAACATTTCACAACATATGCCCCCAAATACTCCAGTCGAGTATATGACTTAGACATAAAAGGTGATATAAATAAATAAGAAAAAGGAAGAAATTACCTATCAGATCTGTTGACTGGGAAAAAATTCATGATCAAATGATAGAATCACAGAAGGTAGAATAGAAAATTTTGATTACATAAAATTACAGAGGTTTTACACAAAATAATGCAGTTGAAATTAGAAACAGGCAACTCAGGAAAAAAAGATTTCAGCAGGTTTTTTGATAAAGATCTCCTTTCCAAGATATATGTTCCATATATGATTAAAATTTATAATAATAAGAGCCATTCCCCCAGTGATAAATGGTCAAAGGATCAAGTAGGCAGTTTTCAAAGCGAGAAATTCAAGCTATCAATAGCCATATGAAGCATTTCTCTAAATCTAATTAGAAAAACGCAAATTAAAGCAATTCTGAGGTTCCCCTCACACCTATTAGATTGGCAAAGTTGACAGAAAAGGATGATGATTTTTTTTTTTTTGGTGAGGCAGTTGGGGTTAAGTGACTTGCCCAGGGTCACACAGCTAGTGAGTATCATGTGTCTAAGGCCAGATTTGACTTGGGTCCTCCTGACTCCAGGGCCCATTCTCTATCCACTGCGCCATCTAGCTGCCCCCAGGAAAGGATAATGATAAAGGCTGGAGGGGCTGTGGGAAAACAGATACACTAATGTACAGTTTGGTGGAGCAGTAAATTGGTCTAACCATTCTGGAAAGCAATTTGGAAATGTACTCCCAAAGTTGTTCAACTGTACATTCTCTGTGACCCACATACTGCCAGGTCTATACCCCAGAGAAATCAAAGAAAGAATAAAAGGACCCACATATACAAAAATATTTATAGCAACTTTTTTTTTAGTTGCAAAGAACTGCAAACTAAGGGGATGCCTATCAATTAGGGAATGGCCGACCAAATTATGGTATATGAATATGATGGAATCCTACTGTGCTGCAATAAATGTTGAAGGGGATTTGTTTCAGAGAAAGCTGGACAGATAGGTATGTACTGATGGAAAGTGAAATGAATAGGACCAGAACAGTATATAAAAAAACAACATCAATGTAAAGATAGATAACTTTGAAAGACTTAAGAATTCTAAATAATGCAATGGCCAATCATTATCTTTAATGAAATCAGCTACTGTTTCTATGATTTACTCTTTGACTCACCAGTTCTTTAGGATTAAATTATTTATTCTTCAATTAATCCTTTTCTTTAACAGCCCTTTGTAGTATTTCGGTAATACAATTTTTATGACACTGTGGTTAGTAAAAGGTATGCCAAATATTTCTGGCTACATCTTCCTGTTACTGTAGGCAAGTCATTAGACCTTTCTAATGCCTCAGTTTCCTCATCTGTAAATGAGGATTTAAACAACAACAAAAACTAGCTGTAGGGCAGTGAGGTGGCGCAGTAGATAGAGCACCGGTCCTGGAGTCAGGAGAACCTGAGTTCAAATGTGGTCTCAGATACTTGACACTTACTAGCTGTGTGACCCTGGGCAAGTCACTTAACCCCAATTGCCTTGCCAAAAAAAACAAACAAAAAAACAAGTTGTACTACCTACATCAGAGAGTTCTTATGATCAAATAAGACAATGAACTTAAGAATTATGTCAACTGTAAAGTGCTATATGAAGCATGAACTCTTATTATGTTATGATTAACTTGATTCTCATGTTTTTAGCATCAACTGATATTGAAAACCATTAGGAAAGCTTTTGATTGATTAAGGAATGCTTGAACAAATTTTAGCATCTGAATGCACTGAGATATTACTGTATCATAAAAAACTTAGCCAGCTCTGCTGCCAGCTCTTGAATATCTGCAAAGGGAATAAAGGCATCTCTGCCTCACCTGTGTGCTAGCATTTAGTTCATGTAGATAAATACAAACCCCTAGGGACCTACTCCTAAGATTAGATGACCTTTTGTCTTGGGGGTTTGGGTGCCATATTTTAGAAAAGACACTTAGGTACTGCTCTAAAATACTTTGCCCTACAGACCTTTCACTATTCCCAACCTCTGAATCCTCCAACCTAGGTAACATCTACCATTCCATTTCTCTCTACTTTTTTGTTCCAGGGCTCCTGAGCTTCACTAGAGAAAATCAATAAACTGATTTGCTCAGATCTTCTTTAGAGAATTTAGAAATCATATAGTCCAGCACACATACTTTATCTGATATCAGTGCATATGTGTATACTTTTGTATACTACCACTTGAATGCATCTGTCCAGATGGATAAAATGAAAGACAGGAAGTAACTTGCCCAAGGTTATATAGCTATAAAAGATGAAACACTTGATACTTACTAGCTATGTGACCCTGGCCAGGTCACTTAACCCTGACTTAACCCTGATTGTCTTGCCAAAAAAAAAAAAAGGTGAAGTTAGGATTGAAAACTTGGTTTCTTCACTCTTAGGCTGGTGCTCTTTCTACTGCCGTGTTAAGGTTGATCCCTTTTTGTGCTTAGTAGTGAGCTAATTCTTTCCTCCTTTCCCTGAGGTTCTTACCTGTCTGTGAATGTGCTGCTTAAGTGTGACTTGATGAGGATATAGAATAATCATGGTAATTATTATTATTGTTCCAATTTCTCTAGTACTTTAATTCTTAGAGTACTTTTCCTCACAGTCCTGAAAAAGATAGGCAACGCAAGTGTTATCCCCATTAGAAAAATAAAGAAACAAGTTCATTCAGAATCTATGAAGTAGGAAATGCAAATATTACTCCATTTTAAATATGAGGAAAAGAAGTTTATCAGAGAGGTTAAGTACAAGGTTACATACCCAGTCAGATCCAGAGCTCAGACCTGAGCTGAGGTCTTCTGATTCCAAAACCAGGGTTCTTTCCACCCTCCCATGTTGTTTCTCTTGTTATATGTGTCCTTATCTCTCATACCCATATGGCAATTGGTTTTACTATGTCCACAGCCACAAAATGATTCCCTAGTATAGCTAGAGTTGAAAGTAGAAGCCTTTTCCTTCCTTTGAAGAGTAAAAGTTCATGTCATAAGCTGAAGAATATTCATTTAAAAAAGTAATTGTTATATGTTTGGCTTTTTAATACTCTTTACTTACTGTAGGTGCTATAAAATTAATCAGTTTGTCATGTGGAAACCAGCACATCTGGGCCTGTGATTCCAGGGGTGGAGTTTACTTCCGAGTAGGAACCCAGCCTCTAAATCCCAGTTTGATGCTTCCAGCATGGATAACAATTGAGCCACCTGCACAGGTAAATGCATTTTTAAAGCTAGTAAGAAACGTATGATAATGTAAATGTAAATATACTTTTAGAGAAGTACTCTATTCTAGTTGTCAACAGATGATAATTTCTCACATTTCTGTAGTCTCTGTAGCACCAAGTGATTTCCCTATAAACAGCCCTGTGAAGTAGTTTATGAGTTAATACTCCCATTTTACAAATGAAGAAACTGAGGCTCAGAAATTAATTGACAGGCTTAAGATCACACACCTAATAAATCTAAGAGCTGGGACTTAAACCCTCTCATTCCAAGTCTCGTTTCCTTTCAACTATACTAGACAGTTTCTTATAATCCTTTTGTTAGAGGCTTTCAGTGTCATGGTAATAGTTTGCCATTTCTGGTTTCTATTTTTATAGCATTTTTATAGCACAAAATACTTTCACTGGCATTGTCTTACTTTATTCTTGAAATAAAACAACCTTGTGAATTAGACGAGGCAGGAATTATCTTCCCCATTTTACAGAAGAGGAAACTGGATCCCAGAGTGGTGAGATAATTTGCCAAAGGTCTCTGTCTAATAAGTAGGAGACCTGAAATTTGATCCCAGGGTTCCTGACTTCTAGAACAGTGGACTTTCCAGTATATCACACTGTACCTCTAAAACTATCACTAGGGATATGAAATGGATAATGAAATTTCCTTAATAAGTACCTTAAATAATTTGGATTTGTGATGAATTTTAGACCTTGAGAGGAATTTAGAGATAATCTCATGCAAATCCCCTATTTTATTTTATACTATATTGTTGCTTTTTTATGTTATCACTTCCTAACATCCTCCTATTCCTACTTCTTCCCCACTACCATTGACCATATCTATATTCAAAGTATCAAGGAAAGAGAAATATGTTTCATCATCGGACCCCTTGAAATCAAGAGTAGTCATTACATTCATTTTAATTCAGATGCAGTGTTTTTTTTCTTTATGTTATTGTATCATTTCATTGTATGTGTTGTTCTCTTTTATTTGTTCTGTGTCAGTTCATAGGAATATTTTCAAGTTTCTCTGAATCCCCAGTAATAGTTGTTTCTTATGGCACAATAATATTCCATTGCTTTTAGATACCACAATTTATTCAGGCATTCCCCAATCAATGGGCGTCACTTTTCTTCCAGTTCTTTGCTATCACAAAAAATGTCACTATAAATGTTTGTAATTATGAGACCTTTCTCCTCCGTCTTTGACCTGCTTGAGGCTATAGGCCTGAGTCAAAGAATATGAACAATTTAGTCACTTTTCTCCCATAATTATAAATTGTTTTTGAAGCAGTTGGACTAATTCATGACTCCACCGACAGTATGTGTACCTTTCTTTCTAGAGTCCCTCAAACATTTACTATTTCCAAATTTTATCATCTTTGTCAATTTGTTGAGTTGAAGTAAAACCTTAGAGTTGTTTTAATTTTAATTTATCTTGTTAGTAAATTGAAATGTTTTTCATATGACTGTTGATAGTTTTCATTTCTTTTTTTGAAAATTCTTTGCTTGTGTCCTTTGCCTTTCTCCTGGGGAAGGCTTTTGGTCTTAATTATATGTGTCATTTCCCTATATATTTAGAATTTCAGACTTCGAAATCTGCTAGAAATATTTTTTTCTCAACCAATAGTTTCCCCTCTTGTCACAGCTGCATTGATTTTGTTTGTGGAAAAAAAATGAATTTTATGCAATCAAAATTGTCCGTTTTATCTTTTATGATCTCTTCTGTCTCTTCTTTGGTTAAGAATTCTCCCTGGCCATCATTATGAAAAGTACCTCCTTCTATTGTCCTCTTAATTTTTTTAGGTGACCTCACATTTAATTTGTACCTGTAATTATAATATACATAGTGCAGGTACAAATTAAATGTGAGTTCATCTAAAAAAATTAAGAGGACAACAGAAGGAGGTACCTTTCATAATGATGGTACCTTTCATCCCTAGCACAGTGCCCTGACATATACATAATGCTTAAACAAATGAATTTTTCTCTATTTTTGCCAAATTACCAAATTTTTCTACTAGTTCTTGTTGAATAAGGAATTCTTTCTGTAGTCATTTATTTGCAACAAACTGAGTTTATTTAACACTGGGCTAATGGATTTGATTGCTTCTCAGTCTTTGTTTTCTAGTCTGTTCCACTCATTCGTTTATTTTTAAGTGCATATTAAATAGTTTTGATTATTATAGTATTTCAGTAGTTTATCTGATAGTCCTAAACCCCCTTCACTTTTGAAAAATGATCTTCTTGAAAAACTGTCTTCTTTGAGATTGTAGGCCTTTTAGTCCTACAGACCAATTTTGTAATAATTTTGTCTCATTCTATAAGGTAAACCCTTGATAGTTTGGTTGTAACACTACTTCTGTAAATTTAGGCAGTATAAATTTGTTGGCTTGACCCAACCATAAACAATGAGTTTCTATTTCAATCTTTCAAAGTACAATAAGCCTGTAAGGATAGGTGAGAGCCACGTTAGAATTAGGCTAGAAATTGCCAAGCAGAGGAGCTCATTTTTTACTCTAGAGGTAAAAGGGAGCCCTCTAGCCTTCTTAAGCAAAGGACTGACATGCTCAGACCTGTGCTTTAGAAATCACAACTGGAAGACTTAGGGAAGGCTGGGGGAAGCAAATTCCAGGTATGTGAGCCTTGCCAAAGTAAATGCATGAAGAAAGATAGAATATCAAGTTTGGGAAATAGCTTGCCTAGAACATAGAGTATTTGAGATGTCTTTAAGAAATAAGACTGGAAAGGTGCACTGTAGGCAGATTGTTGAGGATTTTAAATTGCTTGCTGCTAAGGAATTTGTGTTTTCCTCGAGAGGTCTTTAAGTACCAAACAGAGAATTTAAATTTTATCCTAAAGGCATTGAGGAGCTGCTTCTGCTGCTGCTGCTGCTGCTGCTGCTTCTTCCTCCTCCTCTTCTTCCTCTTCTTCCTCCTCCTCCTCCTCTTCTTCTTCTTCCTCTTCTTCCTCCTCTTCTTCGATAGGCAGTGAGGTTAAGTGACTTGCCCAGGGTCACACAACTAGTAAATGTTATGTGTCTGAGCCTGTATTTGAACTCAGGTCCTCCTGAATCCAGGGCCAGTGCTCTATCCACTGTGCCACTTACTTGCCCCCCATTAAGGAGCTTCTTGAGGAAGGTGGTGACATGTTCTCATAGTATCATTATATATTTGTATAAGTACTTTAGGAATAGCAATTTGGCAGCTGTGTAAAGGTTGAATTGGAGAGAAGGGACACTGAATATAAGAAGACTAGTAAGGAGGCTGTTCCAGTAGTCTAAGGAAAAGGTAATGAAGGCTAGAATTAGGATGATTGTGATCTGAGTAGAAAAAACGAGGAAGAATATAAGAAATGTTTAGGAGTTAGAATGGAAAACGTTGGCATTTGATTAGATGTAAGAGGTGAGTGAGAGTGAAGAATTAGGAATGACCCCTGGGTGTTTGGAAGAATGGTAGTGTCCTTTATAAACATAGGGAAGTTAGAGAGAAGAGTAGGTTTAGGCAGAAAGATAATGAGTTTGGTTTGGTCCCTGTTGTGTTTGAGGTGCCTGTGGGATGTGCAGGTTGAGACGTCCAGCAAGTAATTAGAAGATCCTGGACTAGAGTTCAAGAAAGAGATGAGGCCTAAATTTGGTAGTCATCTTCATAGAGATGATAGTTGAATCCATGGGAGTTGATAAGATCACTGAAAGGGAAGAGAAGAGGGCCCAGGATAGTAAGTGTGGGACATAGGTGATGATCCTATGAAGGATAATGAGAGAGATCAGCCAGAGAGATAGATAACCGCAACATAGCAGTGCCATGAGAACCCAGGGAGGACACAATATTTTAAGAAGAGGGGGTGGCTAATGGTATCAGATGCTGCAGAGAAGTCAGGAAAAATAAGGACTAAGAAAAGGCCATTTTGTCCTTAGCAGTAAAGAGGTTATTGGTAACCTTGGAGAGAGTGATTTTTGTTGAATGGGATCAGAAATTCTATTGCAAGGGCTCAAGAAGTGAGAGAATAGCAAGTGGAAGCAAGGAGTGTACTCACCTTTCTTCCTGGAGTTTGTCTATGAAAGAGAGGAGAGAGATAAGGTGACAGCTTGAGGAGGTCGAGGATCAAGTGATGCATTTTTTAAAAGCTGATAGAGGCCTGGGCATTGTTGTAAGTGGCAGGGGAGAAGCCAGTGAATAAGGAGAAGTTGAGAACTAGGGACATGAGAGCATGATCAAAGTACCTGAGAAGGGGTGATAGAGTCAAGGCACATGTTGGGGGGTTCACCTCAGTGAGATGGGCCACCTCATCCTCTGAGCATGGAGGGAAGAATATCGAATGACTTTCAGGTGATTGAAAGCGTGCCAGTAGAGAGCAGAGGAAGCTCATAGTTGTCGTCCTTCATTTTTTTTTCAGTGAAATATATAAGCGAAGGACCTTTTTTTAATGCCTTTTTTTATTAATTTATTTTGATTTATCAACAATCACTTTCATAAGCTTTTGAGTTTTAAATTTTTCTCCTCCTCCCTCCCGAAGAAGGCACACAATCTGATATAGGCTATACATATACATTCCTATTAAACATATTTTCTCATTAGTCATGCTGTAAGGAAGAATTAGAACCAATAGGAAGAACCACCAGAAAGAGGAAACATAACAAAATAGAAGAAAAAAAATAGCAAATAATATGCTTTGATCTGCATTCAAGCTCCATAGTTTTTTCTCTGGATGTGGATGGCATTTTCCATCATGAGACCTTTGGAGATGTCTTACATCCTTGCATTGCTGAGAAGGTCTCAGTCTATCAAAGTTAGTCATCACACAATGCGACTGTTACTGTGTACAATGTTCTCCTGGTTCTGGTCACTACACTCAGCATCAGTCCATACAAGTCTTTCCAGGTTTTTTTGAAGTCTGCCTTCTTATCATTTCTTATCGCACAGTAGTATTACATTACATTCATATACCACAGCTTGTTCAGCCATTCCTCAATTGATGGGCATCCCCTCAATTTC